CGACTCGTCCACCAAGAAGACGAGCTCCAGGCGGCCACTGAGCTCCCGCAGGCGCCGCACGCGGCTCCGGAACGCGCGGCCCAGACGCTCCACTTTGCTCCCCACCGCCTCCTCCTCACCGGATGCGGGTGGCACGGCCAGTCTGCCCGGAGCCCCAGACGAGGCCTCGGGGAACAGGCGGAAGCTGAAGTTGCGCGACGGTGCCAGGGGCTGGAAGTTGGTCCAGCCGGACGCCAGTGCCAGAGTCCAGCAACAAAAGGCCAGGCACGACAACATTGCGCTGGGGACCGAGCGGAGCGGTGGCCCCGGGAATGCAAGTCAACAGTCCCAGAGAGCAACGAGAGGAGCCCGGTGGCCCGAGCTGGGCGGAGGGGACCCGAGATCGCAGCTGCGAGCCTCAGAGCCCTTGCATGTGACACTGGGGACAGGATCCAGACTCCTCTGGCAGCTTGGAGACGGGACTCAGAGGGATTGGAGCGCTCCGCTCCTTTGGCTCTCCGCTATTTCGCTTCTCTCCTCCTCCCCTCTGTCTCCCAAAGCCTATAAAATGTTTGAAGGAAGGGGGCAGTGAAGCCAGAGTCACTTCCCTCCTTTTCTGTCTGTCCTCTCCTTTTCCCTCTCCTTTCCCTATCTCTCCTCTATCTCTCTCCTCCCCCTCTCTCTTCCCTGGGATCCAGCTAAAGACTCTTGGAGATTCCATGACACCAGACCCCCTCGCCTGTCATGCTGTCAACATTCCCTCACAAACGCACTGATTGATCCCATATGTCTGGCAAGGAGCTGCGGAGGAATTCGCTGGAGATGGATCTGGATACCGAGAGTGCCACAGTAATTGGAAACACTGCAGAGGAAAACACGCGCGGTGCTGGCCGAGTTGAAAGCATGCCTTGAAAACTGCTTGCTCACCTTTTGGGCTTCTTTTCCCCTCTTGGGGGCTGGGTGGGAGTGGGGATCTAAGCCTCCCAGAGTGGGTATTTGAATAACTTTACTGAAGGGCCTGCCTGATCAGTGGTGCAGACTCCCGAGAACCCGTTCAAATCACAGGCTGTTGAAGTGGTGCCCACTCCTGCGCATCACAAGTGGCGAATTATGGTACTCCTTTCCTGCATTTAACCACTCATGCATTTGTCCATTCTTTCCTCATGTAGCAGCTTCTGATGTTCGATAGGTACTAAGAGGATGAGCAGGGAAAATTGACATGAACTCTGCCCTCTAGGAACTCATAACAAGTAAAAGTGTTGTCACCATCACCATCAACTAGACATTCACACATGAAATGTGTATGCATGATTACATATGTTTATGTGTGTGCAAATATACAAATATTTACTTGTAATTACAACTGACCTTGGTTAAACAGAAGATTTGACCTTGGCTAAGGCCAGGCAAGCCTTCTAGGAGAGTGTGAAGTTCCTGCTAAGTTCTGAACTTTGAGTAGGGACCTGTGATTCAACAGATGAGATCTGCCTGGCATACAGACCCTTTGGAATACCAGCTGCTACTTGGGGTGATTTTTCCAAGTAAGGCCTCAAGGATGTACATACATAAAGCACATACTTATTACATGAAAGGTAGAGCCCTTGGTAAAGAGATTCCAACTAGGAATCAAGAACCCTGTGTGGTTATATAAACCTCCAGAACCTCTGGGCTTCAATCCAGTGTCTACTTTTCTTTTGCAATGGAATCAAGTGACTCCAGAGTTCTCCTGGTCTCTAACAGTGAGTGGTTTAACTCCAACTCTACTTAATGAACCACCTCCTACATGAGAGGTGCCTGATCATATAGGCTGGAATATTAGGGCTCTTGGATTAATTTCCCTAACATGAAATCCTGACTACTCTAATTATTGATTGTATCAGTTTGCTCTTTTGGAAAATGAATAAAAATAACATATTAAGGACTAAATCATAGAATAGTAAAGCTCCTAGGAATGTGTTCAGAGTACCACATGTACTCAATACATGCTGGCCACTCATATCACCACCCTTATTCACGAATGCTGTCCAAGTCCTTCTTCCAGAAGTACTCACTGATCATCAAGAATGTACCAGCTTGCAAAATCCTGAGAATTGAAAACTGAGTAGCACTCTATTCTAGTCCTCAAGACGAAAATGTAGATTTGAAAATCATTCTGGAGTTGTGTGTTTGCAAGAGGAACAAGAAGGGAGAAGAAAGAGTAGTGTCTTGTGAGAAGGAATAAGATCTCATTCAACTTGGAACTCTTTTATAAAGAACGTTTTTTCCAACTTTCATCCACCTTATGTTATTTAAAACATATCGTTAAGAGCTAGCATTCTGGGTCCAAGGCAACCACTGTATACATTATCTTGCGTGTCCCTTACCCCCCAACAAAACCTCAGGGAAGCAGACAGTTGCTTTAAGACCTTCTAGTTGCAAGCAATGAGCATCCAGCTCCTCCTTGTTTAAACAAAAGGGATTTATTGGCTCAAGGAAATAAACTGGGGAAAGGCCTGGTTGGTGAAGCCAGGCTCAGAAAGCCTTGGGAAATGAAGGCACAGTGGAGCCTGCCTAAATATAATCCCAGGCTGAGGCAGGAGTGTTGAGGGTTTCAGACCATGGTAAGATCCTGTTTCACAAAGAAAGCATGGGGTAGGTCATAGAGGCTTGGGGAAATGGATCTGTCTGTAATGTCCCTGGCAGGCAAGCATGAGTTCAGAATCACAGCATCCTTGTAGAGGTAGAGCACAGTGATTTGTGCAGTTGCAATCAGAACTCCTTGGCCAGCCAGTCTAGCTGAACTTGTGAACTCAAGGTTTAGCAGAGACCCTGTCTCACAGAATAAGGCAGTGAATAATTGAGGAAGATAGCTGACATCAAACTCTGGCCAACACATACAAACACACACACACACACACACACACACACACACACACACTCAGGCATGCACACACACACATGCACACACACTCAGAACCACTTCTGCTTCTCTTTTTAAAACATTTGTTTACCTTACATCCGACCACAGTTTCCCCTTCCTCCTCTTCTCTTAGTCCCTCCTCCACCTCCTCCCCCTGCTCCCGATTTGCTTCTCTTTACATACTACATTTAGTCTCTTTTTTCTTTCTGATGAGATAAGAAAGATTCTTGTCTATGAGCTCCAGTTTAGCAAAACCTACCACTACTATCACCTTTAAAAAGTGAGCAGAATGGGATTGCTCTAACCTAGCTTCCTGAGAGTAAGGACAGACCACAGAAGCATCCCCACTTAGTTCATACACTCACAGTAATTGTCACTTTAGTCTCAGAATCTAGACTTTTCTCTGTAAAAGCAATGGAGTCCATGAATTTCAGCTGAACACAAAGATATCTAGAGTAAAATCGCATTTTTCTGGCACCTTTTTCAGTTGGATTTGTTTGCACAACTAGGATCTGAGTTGGTTTCATGTGCAACTTCCAGAAATATTTTAAAATAAAAAGACAACAGCTACTTTTATCTATTGACTCTTTTATACTTGGCTCCAGTTTTCTGTCTAGAACTACAGGAGGAAGGCATGGAGAGTGTGTTTTGGAGGGGCTGAATCTGACCCTCTCTGCTTCTCGTCCTAAGAAGTGAACAGCCTTGTGTTCCATACGCTCCCACCTCTGGAATGCTCTGTGCAGCACATGGAGCTGAACCACCCCCCAATCTGTTTCTGTCAAGCCTCGAACACTGAGATGACAAAAGAAGCCAATGCAATACTCTGCTCTAGAGCAGTGGTTCAGAACAAGGGGTGGTGTGTGTGTGTGTGTGTGTGTGTGTGTGTGTGTGTGTGTGTGTTGGAGGGGGTGCTCTACTGTCATCTAGTGTATAAAGACTGCTTGCAGCTAATCACTTGAGTGCCCTAGACAGCCCTCAACATGAAGAACTATCCACCTCAACGCACACATTAGGCAGAGGCAGAGAAATGCTGGCTTATGCAACAATACAATGATAGGCACAAGAAATGACAAAATATGATTAAATACCAATAGTAAGTAGGAGGAAAAACCCAAAGGACTTGGCAATATGGAGCTGAACTGAGGAAAGTGCTGTGACTTCATCTTGTAAAATAATCTAGGAAGCAAAATGAATTGTGTTAGTGGGTAGGAGACTGACTAAAGGTGCACGTCAGTCTCTCCTGTATCCTGATTCAAAATCAGCAGGAAAAAAATCGGCAAAAAAATGCAACCTCAAACCCTGTATACCTACTGGGACCAGTTCCTGAGGCGAGGACAACACCCTTGCCATCTGTCACTGTGTTAAAGTGAAGTAAGATGTGTGTGTCTAGAGAAGGTTTGAAGTGGGGCTTGAGACAGCAGAGGCTGGTTCTGGCAAAGACCCTCCGGGGACAAGAATGGAGTCTAGAAATGGGACAGAGGTGGGGACAAATTTCAGTCCCCATCCCTGCTGGAAATTACATTCTGTTTGCTTTGAAATCTGCAAGTTTGCCAGGGAAATGGCAGCAGCAGGTAGTGGTGACAGAAGGAAGATGCCCCCTTGTGACTGTCTGTATCTTAGAAGAATTGAACAGACGTCTCCCCTCATACAGAGCTTATGAAAGTACACTAATCTATGCTTTATGTAGGTAGAATTACCGAGGGATAGAGTTTTCAGTAGAAAGACCCTGGTATTGAGACACCAGGAGCAATGAAATAGCAAAAAAAAAATCATAAATTAATGTTAATGTTGATAATCTGATGGTAGTGTTTATTGCAGATGAAATATTTCAGAATGCCTATTTCATTTTACTCACCAAATACATTTAAAAATGAACATAATATTTATCTATTTTTAATATTATAGTTCTCTCTGCTTTAAAGGGGAAGAAATGGAGCATTATAAGGCAGCACATACATTTGAAGACACAAATGGATTTTCATGTCATTTCAATGCATTCCAAGTGTCAAGGTGTTACTTCTGGTTTTGGTTTTTGAGACAAAAATCTCACTCAGCAGCTTATGCTTACCTGGAATTCACTGTATATCCCAGGCTGGCCTGGAACTCACAGCAACCCTCCTGCTTCAACCTCCTAAATACTGGGTTTACTCATGAGCTGCATCTTGGCATATGCCCTTTCTTGACAACTCTGTAAGCTGTCAGGGAAGGGTTGGCATTATCATGTCATCTTTGTCACTCACTGGAGTTGTTTGTTCTCTTCACTGTACCATATAACAAACTCTCTGTTATCTGCTGAATTAAACTGAGTCTTGACAACCCCCGCTACAGAAAGTAATCAAAAGATGTTGAATCTAATCAGCATGCAGTCTTCTCCATACAGCCATGCCAGCCTGAAATT